TAGTTTGCTCTTCAGACTTAGTTAGCTTCTGGCAATTTAGCTATGTTGTAGGTCGAAAGGTGATTCCTTAAAGCCGCTAAGAGATCTGCTAATGATGGACGTTGTAGGCTGCTGCAGCGCGTCAAATGCTCTTAAACTAGCCTGTACAATAGGCCTGAATAGCTAGAGTAAGCCTACCTTCTTGCTAAGTTAATATCGCGTTCTGTTGTTGGGGCATTATCTTTCGTACGTGAGGTTCGTGATGCCAAGAAAAAGTGGCACACTCGGTGATGTGGCCCGCTCGGTGATGGAATACGTTACTATATTTATATATTGAACTAGTAAAAATCTGTAAGCCTCCACATATAGCTTAAAAGTTTTTTTATCATTAATAAAGGCCTTATACTTACTGTTATCATATTTTGTTTTACCTGGTATAAATAACTATTTATAATAAAAAAACTACTTAGTATTCTTGAGTCAGAAATAAATATCTTTAGCTACTTTTTTTGAAGTAGACCTTTTACTAAGTATATAAATCAAAGAAAAGTTAGTAATAATAAAAAGGCCTATCACTATAAAGTAGATATAAAGCTAGACTCTAGCTACTCATTAAAGTATATAACATTATAGCTAAAGTAGATGATATCTATTTAGATACACACTAGTCAGTTGATTAGTTCGTTAGTTAGTTAGTTCTATATAATGTATAAAGAAGTAAGAAAGAATACTATAAAAATTAGGTTAAAATACTAACTAATAGCGTAATAGTAGTAATATATCTACAACTAAAATCAGAATAAATACTATAGAATTAAATAGTACTTTTCTCTTGAAGCTTTATTATAGTAGTTATTACGCACTTACTATAGAGCTTTAATAGACTATTACTTATTTAGAGTTACTTAAAATAAAGGCTAGTATTATATAATTACTACTATCTTTAATACGCTTATATTTCTAATAGATAGCTACCTATTAGAGATGCTAAAGAAGATAGACTAGCTTATTAGAATAAACAAAAGATACAATGCGCTTTACTTGTAGCAAATGAATAAATAGATATAAAAAGTAAAATAATTACGCTCCTAGTTAATACTATATAAGTAAAGTTACTATACTACTTTAATAAGCTACCACTTATTAAAGTAGTATATAATAAGCTTAAATAAATAAAAAACTTAATAGTAATGGTAAAAAGAAGTAGTAGTAGTTAAGTAGTTATTATATAAGTCTTTAACAAACACTTATTGAGTTTAAGCTATTAAATTAAGTAAAACTTTAACTAAAAATGAAATTACTTACTAGTTATAGCGTTTAGAAATACTAGGGCTTTAGCTACTAAAAGCTAAGTTCTAGATTATATACACTATTTATTTTATTTATTTATATACCTAGTAGGTAATAGGAGCTTAATTAAGTTTATTAATCTCTATTAGAAGTAATACTATCTCTCTTTCGCGATTGACGAGAAAATCCGAGCTATTAGCGCTACTTTAAGTATTGTAACTATTAGATTTTGAAATTTTATACTCTTGCGTTTCATATAATTGAATTTTAAGTTGTATACCAGTAGTAGGTTATAATAGTAGTACTAGTAGTAAGCAAGTCATATAAACTTCTTTCTCATAAACAAAATATTACTTGTTTTATAATATAACTTTTTTACTATTTATACCATGAACTTCAATACCTTATTTCATTAGTAAGACTTCTTAAGTGTAATTATAGTTATACTAATACATAGTATAAGTATATTAGAGAACTTTAATGAATTTATATATATATATAATATCTTTAGGCGTAGTTATTTGTTATACTGTATTATAGCTAGTACTTAGAATAGGCTTCTTATGCCTATTATTAGCGTGTAAGATTTTATAGAAACACTAACTGAAAATCTCTATATTAATAGATGAAAACTGCGGCCTAAAGTAGCTTATATATCTAATATATACTAAACGCAGTCATTCTTAGTTTTAGCATATTGAATGATAATAAGCGCTATAGCTTGAATAGCACTTACTATTTTATAAGTTAGTAACTAACGAATAATGTTCAAGGTTTCAGTAGTTACTTATTTAATAGTGTTATTAACCCTACTATTCATATAAAAACATTAATCGTTAACCTAGCTATTAGTTTATATTGTATAGTTAGCGATTATCTAGTAAACCCTAAAGAAGTAAGTATTGATAGAACATATTATGTTGTAAAAATCAACAATAAAGATAGTAGATATTGAATAAAAAGGTTCAAGTTAGAAAGAATAATAACAAAAAGCTATAAGTAAGAAGAAAAGTAAATTTATGCTTATTATATAGCGTTTACTATATAGTGCCACTACTAAAACCTTTTTTAATTACACTATTTACTTTTACTTTCACTATATAAGTTATTAAATACGTAATAGTAAATAAATAAAGTAAAAGAAAAACAAATAACATTAGAAATACATCTATAAGAGTAGATAAAGTAGAAAAAAGAGATATTATAAAAGGCCATACTGAAAAAGTATAACTTTAAAGATATTAGATAGTAATTCAGATAACACTTATTGTAAAATTAAGTTATACAGTTTTGGTTATATATAAGTAAACCTAAAAAAAGGATTACTAAAAGTCTAAGTATTTATATAAGTAATAAATATAAAAGAAGGAACCCTTTAATATTTCTATTCTCTATCTTTTTTCTTCTATATATTAGGAATATACATACTTGTCGGTTAGGAGTCTCTCGCGTATAACATTCATGAAACTCTTTTATTATAGCTTTTACTTATATAAGTAAATAGTTAAAGCTTTTACTTTCTTCCTTACTTAAGTACATATATATACATATATATAACTATAGTTATTTAACCATAATTTGGTAACTATAGTTATATAACAATAATTAGGTAACTATAGTTATATAGTTTACTATCACGTGGTCTGTAGGTTATGATTCTAGCGTAGCCCTTTACAATTTCATTGCATTAGTCCCTTTTAGTTAACTCTATTTGCCCAGAGTGAACTAGTATTGGAACTAAATAAGCTTTACCTCTAGACTTGATTAAAGTTACAATATATTTATTAAAAACGTAACCTGAAAGTTTATAGGAAAGTAGGGAAGTCTAGGAAGATTAGGGGAGGGGATAGCGCAGTAGTGAAGCGCCTGGAAATCCTCTGCTGTCTCACGTCAGCAGGAGTCGAAGGTTTAGATTAGACTGGCAAATGGGTCTCCACCTCGACATCTCTTTTTCCGCGATCTCTCCAATGATAGAGCTAATGAGGCAATTAATAGCTTATTTTATAGCCCTAATATGGATCTATGACTTACTTTCATAAGGTAATACTATAGCTCTAGTATCACCTCAAGCATGTCACTCTCTTCAATCTCCAACTTTTCACTAGTTTTTCTTTCAAGTTTTCATCAGTCTCCCTCCTGGTTGAAAAATTGGTTTTAATTAGATACCTCTCTTGCATTTGGTAAAGCTATAAGGAGTGGTGAGAGGGGAAGAATCTAAACTGGACTAGCAAATGGGTCTCCATCTTGGGATCTCTTTTTCCGCGATATCTCTCTTAATACTTAGCCTAATAAGGCAATTCATAGCTTATCTTATAGCCCTACTAATTATCTATAACCTACAACATAGTATTAAGTACCACGCTAGCTATTATTATTATTATTATTATTATTATTATAGTTTAACGTCCTTTCTCAGCCCAAAGGGCTATATAAGACGTGCAGGCTTAAGGCCTGCAAGTAACTACGTAGGCTAGAATTTAATCTAGGTACAAATTGAGTAGGTACAATGTAGGGGGTTATCTAAATGAAGGTGAGACTCGTAGCCTAGTAGTTTTTTAGTGAGTAACTCTCTCAGATCTTTCACTTTAAATGAGTCTTCCTCTCAAGTTTTAATGAGTAACTCTCTCATGTGGGTGGACCATAAATATGGTTGTGAGGGGAGAAGGATTCGAACCTTCGATCTTTGCTGACGTGAGACAGCAGAAAATTTTCCAGGCGCTCCACCACTGCGCCATCCCCCCACCACGCTAGCTAGAGGAGGTAGTAAGTTACTCCTCCTTAGACTAAGAGGTGGAGACCTAAGTCTTAGCAAGGTAGGTATGCTAATAACTTATTATTTATTAGGCTACAAACCTTACGTATGTTTAGATAACCCTCACCCCTACCTCGTTATATAAGATAGAACCATATATACTTGCAGGCTTAACCTGCACGTCTTATATAGCCTACCTGCCAAGAAAGGACGTTTGTTATAAACAACTTCCTTCTATCCTTGTTAGGGCTGTTAGTCTATATTAGTCAGCCCTGCGTATATAAACACTCAGATCGCTAGAGCAACTTGCTAGCGATCTGTCTGGTACCAATACAGACTATTTACACAACTATTCAATTACATTGCCTATTGCGTATCGAAACTACATAGGTAGTCCAACAATACTTCGTAACAAGAACAAGAATAATCATAATAACAACCATAATAACAACATCAATGATAATAATAACAAAAAGAATAGTATTAACAATCATAATAAAAATTATGAGAAGAAAAATAACAATAATGATTGTAAGTTTAGTAATAATAGTGATACAAATACATATAATGCTACTTTAATGAATAGTGATTATAATAATGGTAATATCAATAATAAGACATGAGGTTTAGGAGTAAAAGGAATGACAGCCTTGAGTAATATTTGCTAGATATAGACAGGGTGCTCGATTCAGCTAAAGCAAACAAAGCGATCCGCCTAAATGATCCATGTCTCCAAAGAAATCCTCTTAATTGCATGTGATCTCAAGCGAGGTGATCATTGGGCGCACTTGTTCTTAAATACGGTGAAAGTAAGCAGGACGCAGACCTATTCTGATGATTTTGAATCACTCCTTAGTTGAAACCCTCGTTGTCTTTACCGGCATTACGAAAGAGACACCAGTGCGGACTACTCAGGGCTCAGGGTTGTGCGATATTCAGATGTGCCAACGAATGGTTAACATAACGAGTAAGTGAAGCAATGATTCGAGGCTCAATCGAAGAACAGGCTTTACTTCGGGCTCCAATCGATGTCGGAGCCAGGACTACACGGAAATCTTCGTGCCGGATGCTATATGTATTTCTTCTTCTCATGACGAACATCTGCTCTGGAATTCTTGCATTTCACAGTGGTCGGCTAGATGCGCGGCGAGTCTATTCGATGGATCCTATAGGCAGTAGGTCTCAGCTTCTCGTTTCTTGATTCCATCTTTGCTTATCGGAGATAGTCGAAGCCGTCTACAAGGGAGTATCCAGGCATCTTGTAGATCACAGGTTCTCTCAATTCGACTTGTATGATAACAGAAGTCGGTACACTGCCACACCTAGCAAAGCAGTGGATGACGCCTGGGACGAAATTGGCGCCGGAAACCACTCTTTTCTTCTACCACTTCAATACGGATCTCTCTTTGGCCTTGACCAACGCCGCAATCTGCATGTCAGGCCACCTCAGTGGGGACCCGATAAATCAGGCTACTTGGTTCAGCTATGGGCAAGTCACGATGTGCACTGTGTGGTAAGTTGGCAGCCGTCACGTTTCTACTTGTGTATATGATACTGAGAAAGCCGCATTGAAGAATCTGCTGCGGCAGTCGCTATACTTCAATCACGACTACTATAAGTCTCATAACGGTCATTTGAATGAGACGGAGGCAGAGCACAGAGCTCACATAAGTAAGTTATGTATCAGGATTTTGATAGAAAGGCTTGAGGCTAAACTCTGTATAGATCACTGTGTCAACATACTGCGCGAACGTGTTATGTGTGTGGCAGATGCTAGAGTAATACCAATGGGTTGGGGACCTGGCGAATTCGACTTTGGAGTTAGCCGCAGATGTCACCTACACCGGCCACTCATCGATTGGCTTCGCGAGCATGACATTGGCCCCAATGATCCAGGTGTAGCATGGGATTTGATCAAGATACCTCCAGATGCTATTCCCGGTGCAGCAGGATACACTCTGCCTACGGTAGAATAGTTCACTATAATGATAGACTATAAGCAAAACTCCTACTACAACACGACTACTCCAGGCTGCAGTATACATTCGATGATCAGCCAATTTTTCGATTTCAAGGGTCTTCAATCATGCGGTTATGAAATAGCTGTCTTGTCTTTATGTCCTAAGGTGTCTCCTTTTTGTAGCTTTTTTCTTTTCTTTTGCGTCCTTAGCCTTGTACTTAGGCCTTAACAATAGCCTTACTTCAAACGTTAATTTACAGTTTTCGTGCCTAGGTTTCATGTCATACGTAGTTCTGTGAGTAAGGTATACTATAGAGGGGTAACATTAAAAAAAAGTGTTTAAAAATATAACGTATGTGGCAAGCGAGCGCCGCAGGCAAGCGAGCGCCGCACCCCACCAAACCTGCGCACCTCTATAAGCCTGTAGTTCCACCACAATATAGTTGTTTTACTACATATTAACATAATAGATTAAGCAGTACCTAGAGTATCTTTCTTGCACGTACGTGAGTTATGGCCAGTCTCTCTGCACCTACTACAGCGCGCCAAAG